CTAAATTCCATTAAACTATCTAAGTTATTCCAAAAGGAATAAAGTGTTCTACAGATTCAAATATGGTTTCAGGCCGAGCTGCTCTGTAGAGATTATGGCAAAGAAAGTTGACACGGCATTAAAACAGATGTTGTTTTCATGTACAGATTTTTAACTAAAGCTTCATCTTGAAGAACAATTGCTGGATGGGCAGAAGGCTTCACACCATCACCCTAACTATCTTAGTTAGACACACCTGTTTTTTTCCAGAGTCATCTATCTCTCTCCCTTGGTGGGAAACCAGTTTCATTCTGATTCACCAAGAAAGCTGAATTTCCTCCAGAGTTGTTGGAAACACTATTCTCAGACCAGGCACTGATACTGAAACCACAAGTCTCATCCAAAATTAATTGACATGTCTGTAACAGGAGCTGGACAGAATTTGAGCAACCACTGGAAAAAAGGATCCCCTTCCCTAACTGTGTTAATCACCATCTGAAGAGATTTGTTCTCCATGCTTTGCATGTGTCTATATTTGCATTTGTTGTCTGTCTTCTTTCCTCCACTATCTATCTCAAATTATTTTCTTAAAAAAAAGTCAGTGTCAGCAGCAGCCTAGACTAAAAGGGATGTCAGGGAATAAGGATGAAGAAAAAAATCTTCCTGATAACAGAACTTACAAGGAATCACAGAGTTTCTACCACTTGATATTCTGCACAGTAGAACAGATGAAGCATATGGTCAGGAAAAGGAACTGATCGTTTAAAAGATCTTTATCTTTAATTTCTGTGATTCAGTAATGAGATACTATCAAATTAATATATTACATTGCATTAATCTTTGTATTATTATCACAATCTAAGGCTGATTGTTCCTCATTCACGTATTCTTGCAAATGTGGAGCCAAGATCATATTTCTTATATTAAATCCCCCTCTAACAATACAATCCTGTCAAGGCAATTCAGACCAATACAGTCAGCTCATAAAATCAATATTTCCTTTTTCATAAGCATGCAAGGACATGATAAAAGGCATTTCAGTTATTTTAAATGGTTTTGCTATCAAAGAAGATGGAATAACAGTTTTAAGTGGTGTGTAAAGTGTTAAGTCTTCACTAAATACAACTGGAAGATATTCACCTGTTGCAGGACTCTCCAATTTTCAGACTGCAAGCTATCCAGAGGAAAAAAGTTCTAAATCTGAAACTTATGTAGGACACTCAGATTATGATGATTTTGTAGTAAAAAAAAAGAAAAATGTACATTATTTATATGCCATTAATTCTCCCATTGCAAATTCCTTTCTGTTCAACAATCCTTTTAGCCTACCTTCACTTGGACTGTAAACAAAACATACAAACTCAGCAATGCACTGAAATAATTTGGTTGAAATTCACTGTCAAAATCACCTGTAGATCATTCTTCCCTTGGGAAGGTTCTATCCACTCTGTATAATTCTGCACCTGGAGAGCTGTCCTACCATTCTTAGAAGGTTTCTTGTACAGAGCTGTGCAAGCAATACATAGGATTTTATAAAGTAGATGTAGTTTATGAGCGAGTGTCTACACAAATGCTACTGTTTGCAAAACAGTGTTGGAAAAATGTCATGGGGATCTAGATGAAAATGAGCATCCAAAAACACACTGATGTTCATAGTACATCAGTGTATAGTTTCCAAGTCAGAACATAAGAAATTTTTATACAGCATGATAAAGCACTGTATATCACTGAATTATTACAGATTTATTAAAAATTTCTTTCCCATCTGTACTTCCCCCAATCTTTCAATAATATGTAGTTCTTTCCATAGGTCAAATGCATTCTTTTCATGTGCTTCCTTTTCTTACACTGTCTTCTGCAAGCAAAAATGACACCACAGAAACCCTTTCTGAAGGATTTACCAAATCTAAAAATTTGGTATTTTGCAGGTTTTAAGTGCTGTTTTGCCTTCAGCTTTACTTTAAACATGGATCATAATGACATGAAAACCTTTCAAAAAAGCATAACCTGATCTGTCTTTCAACATCAAATGTTGTCTGCAAACTGGAATCTAGGTGGAAGTCTAGATTTGAAACAACATCCTTTATGAATACTGATTGAAAACTTAATTCATATACAGCATTTCAAGATGCAAGAATGTATGTTATGAACAGCTGAATACAAAAGAGTAGCAGGGAAAGGAGAAAGCTTCACATACTAAGAGCTACACAATAGGTGAAAGATGGCATTTCTGAACGAGCATAAGAACAGAAAAAATCTACTGGCTTTCCACTACAGTGAAACATGAACATTCAGAGCACGTGCTCTGCTATGCTTCACATCTTTCTGTAAGCACTTACTGCTCCAAAGGCAAAGTTTATTATTTATTTAGGATAGTCTGGTTTCTTTAAAATACAGCTCAAACTGTGGGTCTGTACTGATACTAGTCAGTCAGCTAATCCAGGACATCTCTTGTAGAACTGGACATTCAGAGAGCCACATGGGGACTTCGATTCTGCCAACTACTTCAATGAACTCATCACAGCTGACTGACATGAATCAACAGTGAAATAAACTGGAAAGACCTTGATGCACAATACATTCCAGATGATGCACTTTATTTTGGCTCCTAAATGATCTTGAAATCTAAAGCGTACAAAAGAAACCTGCTAAATCATTAAGAAATTCTTAAAATTTGCCAATGTTGAATGATTTTCACACTGCCTAACTCTAAGCACTCTCTATTTACTCACCTCACTAAAAGACAAACCTCCCTGCTAATCCTACATACACATGGGAACAACTTGTGCAAAACCCACAACTTACATGTTCTGAATCTCCCTCAGTAGAAGGATATATCCCTCCATTACAATATTCATATTGTATTTATACAATATTTATATAAAAGCAAAAGGCAAAGTGGGCATCTAACCTGAAACTAAATAATATCATCCAAACACCCTACCTTTCCCCCTTCTCACACACTCAGTCCTACCACTGTATTACCTACAAGTATCAGTAAAATATTTGAGCTCTACAGACAGTAAATTTGGCCATCTCTTTCAAAAGTATAAAGTAACACAGTCCCCATTAATACACTTCAATATATTTACTTTAAAAATCTTCCATCACAGCTGCTCAAAATACCTTGCTGGTCTAAATTAAAGCTTTGTTAGGAATCCAAACAATTCACATTTTTGAATTAGTGATTGATTTCATTAAGGATGATTTATCAAAAATAAAAATTCCTCTGGAAGCAGGTTCAAAGCTAAAACATTGTAAATATGTTACTCCTAAGATGACTACATTAAAAAACATGTCCATTTTTTGCCTCAGCAGGTGATAAATGTCTCAGGATGATTCCATGAGGAAACAGGCAAAGTTTGGCTACAAACAAGAAATCAAGATAAAGTGATGTTGGTGTAATTAAGAGATATGTAAATCTTTTCAACCCTATGAGTGCTTAACTCTTCCTGAAAACTGACATAAAACTTCTAAAATCTATGCAGCAGAAACTGCTAAATGTGCAAACGTTCTCATTATCCCTGTCAGTACTGTTAGCTGGATTGCTGTGTCACCATGAGTCAGTCAATTACGCAGTCACTTTCATGAAGGGTATTCATTCCAAGTAATTATCTCTGCCTCATTTCCCAGAGTTTGTGGTCCTGCTACTTTCTCATCTCACATTCCCTTTCAATGGATTCTGTGATTCTATTTATTCTCTCAGCCTTCATCTCCAAGCATTTCAATCTCAAAGTTTTGGGGAAACTCGGATATATCACATACAAGAGTGAAAATGCATCCCTTTAATTCACATAATGCAAGGAATCTGAGATTAAGTTATAGCTAGCGAAATCAGCAATTTTCTTTCAAGGATAAGCATGTTTTTTACTTACATACATTCTTTTTACATTTTATTTCGTATCATAATATGGAACTGTACGACATTTTCCCTTTCAAAAAGCCTTACTTAGTTTTCCATATATGACAGAAGTGATATGTGATAAAGAGAGTAATCATATGAGGATGTGTAGTCATCTTTTCTGGCCATTTTACTGCTTTCATCTCTGGCATGCTAATAGTCATTGATATGGTTATATGGTTTACTGTAGTTATAAGTTCATTGATCTCTTTGCATAAAACAGAAATTCATCAATATTTTTTGTGTATTTGCATTTCTATATTAAGATAAAAATATTGTAAGACTATTAAAGACCCTCTAGTTTATTTTCTTTTCCATATGAAACATTTAAGATAACTATTCTCTTCACTTCTCAGTGACAATGAGTGCCTCTATTTCTGGAGGAATTAATTGCCAAACTGTGAGGTTTCATATGTTGTCTAAAGACACATCATTCACAAAGTATGCCATTTTTAGGAAGTTTTCTCTGAATAAAAAAAATAACAAAATTTGACTTTCATTTTTCCTAATGACAGAGCATGTAACACTTGTACAAAAAGCTCCATATGACACATTATGGACATTTTTTAATTGCGTGTCCTCTCTATTTCTTTTCATATTCCCTTTTAAATGTGCCATACCTTTCCTAATGCATTCTTAGCAGCCCAACAAAATGTTAAGTGTCTAAATGTATCTCCCAAATCAGTTGCTTCAGTGGATTTAAAGTTTAGCCACACTGGCTCAAAAAATGCAGTGAGAATATATTGATTTCATTGTTGACAATGATTCATGGCAATTCAGTTCAGTGAATGAACAATCTAGATCACCTGTTCAGGCTTCAAGCTGAGACAAATCAAATTCACGGTTTGATAAAGGCAGCCTCATGCTACACAGCACCTCCAAAATGGAGTTCTCCACCACTCAGAGTAGGGGATTATATTAATGAGTTGAAAATAAAACAGATATAGTAAGTGCTTTTTCTGACAAAATGCACCTTTCTGCTTAAAATTCACTTTGTAAACAACTTTGGTAACATTCTTCTATTTACACAATGACACAAGATGAAGAAATTCTCCACCAAAATTGCAACGTTGAAGTACTTTTGTAACAAGCATTTTAAAGGTGAAACTACTGTACTTACCAAGCCAACTTCTGTTTAAATATACTGACACAAATACTGGAGGGACCGTGAAGAAATCTACCACTGAGTTAACTTCTAGCCAAAACCATAGCTTGTCATTGGCTGCTATAAACTGGAAAGAAAAAAAAAAAAAAGAGCAGAAGAGATGAAAGAATCAGATTATTGACATTCTGATTGCAGGTATCTGTTCCAAAATATTAAACTCAAAAGTTAGTGTAGTAACTATGTTTTATGTCAGTCCAGACAAAACACGTCTCACTAGAAAAAAGTCTGTATTGTGCATTTCTTGATAATCACACTGAGATTAAAATGAAAGGTCTAATTAATGAGATAGATCGTCTGTATGATCAGTGGCAATATCTGTGCTAAAATATTTTTTCCATATTTATTGACAATGTATCAGTAACATTAGGAAAGTGTAGGCAAATATAAGGTATTTCAAAATACATCTCCTTTGCTCTAGCACAGCAAATATGCTGGTAGTAGTCTGATCATGTATCTGATGCCCACAGATTTTGACATACAGAGTGGTTTAGAATGAGTCCCTTTACTATCTGTCCAGAGGAGATCAGCAGGATGACTCCTACAAGGCACAGCTCGGGACTGCAGCAGCACTTCAATCTTTTGAAGTGAACCATGGATGTGGTCATTTCTCTCTCCTGAATACAAAATCAGCCCAGGGAAACTGGCAAGCTGAGGTACCCAGGGCATCTTGCCTATGTGCTTGAATAAGGTCAAACTACTATTCGTATTTGATTAGTAATTAAAAAGTAATGAAAACATTTGCTTTGTATAAACATTAAATATAAATATGAAAATAAAGGGAAAAATCCCCAGTATATCATGAAAATATTTGAGTAGTTTTACCTAAATCTTAAAACTTTGACTTACACATACCAAAACAATGCATTCAAAACAAAACATATTTTTGCATGAAAGAAGATATTAACTGTGTTTGTTTCAAAGAAAATACGAGCTCTGTTTCAATCACCATACACAACAGCTATACTCCCCTCTGCTCCTCGCTACCAAAGACACACTACTTACACGCAAGCCAAAGTAGAGTAGGAAGAACACATTGAAAGCCATGTCGATCTGTAATGTGAAATCTTTGTAGAAATTCTGGCAGGATTCTATTGGGCTATTCGAAAGACAAAGAAATCAGAATAAATTGTCAGTATATGAGTTTCTACTCTGCTGAGAATTGTATGCATCTCATTATAGACCTTGATTCAGAAATCATGTTTCTGTTTTCCAGTTGTTTACAAGATACAAGCAAGCATTTCAAAGGAATTATTTCATTCATTCAGTTAGTCATTCATACAGTGTTTATATTCACCTGTTCAGGTAATATTTGAGAGTTAACATGCAGATACCTTTAGGAGAGGACAAGCAGGAGAATACCTCAGGATTGCTTAACCCCACATTAACCCTTAAAGAACTGACTTCTTTCTAAAGGAGACACACCTATGATACTTTAGGAAGAAACCTAACAAGCACACAGGTACAGTGAAACATTACACGCTTTTAATTCATGATATAATATAAAACCTTTAACAAAAAAATAGTTGCTTAGGAATACATTACCCATTAGCAACCTGGAGTATTTAGTCTTGTACAATCCCTTGTTTATAAGAAGTTGATTGGATTTTTTTTTTTCTTTTTCTCACTTCTTTTTTGTTGTATGGCTATTTAATGTACTTTATGTACAGTACTATGAACTGAGTAGAAAAGCAGCATAGCCCGCTGGTAAAATTAAATAACAAAATAAATTGAAGAATTTGAAGCAGTACTCTAAGGGTTAATTTCTGCATGCAGGTTAATTAAAATACCCTTGTGTGTATCAGGCAGCCATTGCAAATTTTAGCTTATTATTTTATGCTCTCTTTGACAGTGGGACAGATCCAAAGCTTACTCTATACAAACTGGTACTTTACAAATATATTTTTATCTAAGGAAGGTGGTAACTTCCATAGGTATCATCAGTGATTTATTTGCTAAGTTTCCAACACAGATTGTTGAAGCCACAGTCCAATGTTGTAGTCATAGACCAAAGTGAAAATCATGTCCCAATATATGTTGATGTATATACTATATATACATAATGTCCCACCATATATACATATATATACACACATATATTGCAAATGATCATGTGTTCATCACAACTGTAATAGAGGGAAGCTAGAACATCGATCATTTGATCATTTGGAGCCCTAGAAAACATCCTTTTAGAAAAGCAGAAATTTGTTGGCTTTCTAGATCAAATAAATCACTGAAGGTGAATGTAATACCAGTTAGTATAGCAGTAGTTCTGCAAATATAATGCTAGACTGCTCAACAAGCAAGATTCTACGCGTTATGAATGTCAGTTACCTAACTTAAGGCATAAAGGAAACTACCTGGACTACCAGGTCATTACACATGCAGCCAAATTTTCCATTCCTTGTATACATTTCAGGTCAAACAAGTTAATTACAGCATGCTCTCTCCTGTCTCTAGATGCATGAATGTATACAGCAAGATTCTCCTTGATGTACAATAGCTTTGTATTTTAAGAAGCTTCAGTGCTATAGGAAATTTTATTAAAATTGTTCTTCAAAGGCTATTTGAAAAGACATTGAAGTTATTGGACACTTCTGTTATAGTTCAAATAAAATTGATTTATAAGAGCAGAAGGGAAAAGAAGCCAAATGTTAACATACAGGACAGCAGACAATATCTCTTACTTAACAAATACACTTTTAGCTACAGTAACAGTGGATGTAATCTGAGAACCCAACTGGACCATTTTCTGTACAGCACTAATGAGAAGAAAGGATTTTGTCAAAATAAGGCAGGCCACACACTGAGTCACAATGCACCCTACCAACAGGAAGTACAGAGGAACAGAGTCAACAGCCCTGCACCAACCCTTAATTCCAGGCTAGGTTCCTGCAAAAGCTGGAGAAATTTGTAGAGGCTTATAACCAGGATAGAGAGCGATTTTTAGTTAAGGTCAGCTAAGGCTGCAGCTAACAGCTGTACTTTTGTGTCACTGTCCTTTACAAAAACTTACAAGATCTGACAAATTACCTAATGCATAATACATCTTCATTTTTTTTGCAAAACACATAGCACAATGGATGACAATTCTGATTTGTGACTTTTGTCCACCTAATACCAAAACTGCTGCTTCTGCTAGTCTTATCCTTTAAACTTCCTTCATTTCAGAGATCATCCTCCTCTTCCAATATTTAAGTTATTCATTTCAAAGACACATCCTTTTCTTTTTTATTTCAAATGATGATTTTGACAGAAGGGCATGGCACTGATGAAGTTACTCATTTTTTCACAGATGGATTATAAAAGATTTTAAACATTCTAAAATAAATTTTCAGTATGGATTTTTTATTTTTCTTTTTGTCAGTATCTAACATTTGAGCTGGCAGAAAAATATGGCCACTAATGTTCATCACTGCACAATTCAGCCTGCTGCAGAAAGGGATCCAATTTGAAACTCATCTTTACATCAAGTTTCCCAAAACCAGAAGTGCTATACTTCTTAATAGTGTACTGGGGTCTCCAGAATCAGAAATAATACTAATAAAACTCCCTGGTTTATATTAAAATCATGTGGCATGACCTATGGGATTTCACCCCATTAGGGCAGCAAAGGTTTCCCTTTTGAAGAAGGCAACAGACAATTAAAAACATTTTTATTCCCTTTCCATGTAAACACGGTTTCATACATTTATACCACAAGACAGGAGCAACTATGATAAAATCAATGAAATAGCACACTAAAAATTTACTAAAAAGATTATTAGAAAGATGTACTGGATAAAAATTACAGCAATGATGGAACTCTAAATGCAATGGGTGTCTCCCTCTAAGAAAGGGGCAGGATCAATACTCCAGCAACTGATATGCACGTCTGGTAAATGAGCCAGCTAGGGAGGGCACCCCACCAGAGCTGTGTTTCTGAACAGAGGACTGGTGGGTGATGTGACAAGTGGAGGTTGTCTTGGGCACAGCAATCACAAAATGATAGATTTTGATTCCCAGAGAAATAACAAGGGAGGCTAGCAGAACTGCTATGTTGGACTCCCAGAGGACAGGCTTTGGCCTCTTTATGATGCTGGTTGAGAAGGACTCTTGGGATGCAGTCCTGAAGGGCAAACAAATCCAGGAAGGCTGGACATGCTTCAAGAAGGGAATTTTGAACGCGCTGAAGCAGGCCATCCCCATGTGTCAAAAGACAAGCTGGCAGGGAAGACCAGGAAGGCCTGGCTGAATAGAGAACTTTGGCTGGAATTCAGGAATAAGAGTGTATCATCTTTGGAAGAAGGGCCTCAAGGAGGGCTTCAAGGATGTTGTGAGGTTATGAGGGAAAAAATTAGAAGGGCAGAAGCCCAGCTAGAACAGTCTGGTTACTGGCATAAAAAGATAATAAAAAATGTTCCTAGAAATATATTAGCAACAGAAGGAGAGCTAAGTAGAATCTCCATCTTTTATTGCATTGGGGGAAACATAGTGACAAAGAATGAGAAGTCTGGGGTACTGAATAACTGCTTTACTTTGGTCTGTAACTGAGGTCTTTAACTCAGTCTGTGTACCCAGAGCCCTGAGCTGGAAGACGGGGAACAGAATGGAGCCCCCACAATCCAAGGGAAAATGGTCAGTAAAATACTACACCATTTAGATACAAATCAAGAAGGCTGCATGGAATCCACCCAAACATACTAAGGGAACTGGCAGAAGTGCTCACCAAACCACTTTCCATCATTTCTCAGCAGACCTGGTTAACTGGAGAAGTAGCACCTCACTGGAAGTTAAGAAACCCATCTACAAGAAGGATCAGCAAGAGGATTTATGCAGCTACAAGCCTGTCAAGCCTGACCTTGGTGCTGGGGAAGGTCATGGGGTAGAACATCTTGAGTGCCAGCACTCCTGAGTGCCAGCATAGAGCACATGCAGGACACCACAGGATCAGGTTCAGCCCATTTGAGTTTATGAAAGGCAGTTCTGCTCAACCAACCTGATCTTCTATGAAAAGGTGATTTTCTTGGTGGATGAGGGAAAGGCTGTGGAGGCTGTCTATCTAGACTTTATTCAAGCTTTTTACACCATTTTCCACACCACTCTGCTGAAGAAACTGGCTTCTCATAGCTTGGACTAGCTGGGTAAAAGACAGGCTGGATGGCTGAGCCCAAGGAGTGTAGTAAAAGGAGTCAAATCCACCTGCTGTCTCATCACTAATGGTGTTCCCCAGGTCTCAGCTTTGGAGCCAGTGCTGTTTAATATCTTGATCTATTATCTGGTCAAGGGAATCGAGTGAGTCCTCAGTAAGCTCACTGCTGACACCGAGCTGAGCAGAAGAGTGGGTCTGCTAGAGGGTAGGAAGGTTCTGCAGAGGGATCTGAACAGGCTAACAGGCTGGATCCATGGGCTGAGGTCAATTGTATGAGGTTCAACAAGGCCAAACGCCTTGTCCTGCACTTGGGTCACAACAACCCCATGCAGTGCTACAGGCCTGGAGAAGAGCAGCTGGAAAGTTGCTCACTGGAAAAGGACCTGAAGCTGCTGATCAGCAGCCAGCTCACTGTGAGCTAGCATGTGCCAAAGTGGCCCAGGAGGCCAATAGCATCCAGGCTTGTAACAGCAACAGTGTGGCCAGCAGGACCAGGGAAGGGAGCATCCCCATGAACTTGGCATTGGTGAGGCCACACCTCGAGTGCTGTGTCCAGCTCTGGGGCTCGCCCTGCAAGGCAGCGAGGGGCTGAGGCAAGCCCAGAGAAGGACAACAGCTGGGAAAGGGTCTGGAGCACAAGGGGGCTGAGGGTGCTGGGGATGTTCAGCCCAGAGGCTCGGGAAGGACCTTATCTCTACCTACCACTCCCTAGGGGCAGGTTGTAGCAAGGTCAGGGTTGACCTCTTCTCCCGAATACAAGCAGAACAAAAGGAAATGGCCTCAAGTTGTGCCAATGGAAGATTAGACTGGGCATTAGGAAACAATTTTTCACTGGAGCATTGTCATGGGTTGAAAGAGACTGTCCAGGGAAGTGGTTGAGTCACCATCCCTGAAGGTATTTAAAAGATGTATAGTTGTGGCACTTAGTTTAGTGGGGAACTTAAAGGTCATTTCTAAAACAAATGATT